AATGTGTTTTATGTGTTTGTGGAAAATATTATTATGAGCTATTTTCAAGGCACTTTAATTGTCACAATAAATGGTAGTGACAAAAGAATGTGAGACTTCCATGTATTCGAGTAATCAACGAAACAATTTCGTCACCAGCAATACTTGACCGAGAAAGAAGATCAGCTGAATATTTGACCGCATAGATAATATATCCAAAAGAAACAAACGAAACTTTAACGGACTGTTTGATATAGGAGATTATTTTTTTACTGAATTTTTTTTTTTTCTAAAAATATGATGATAAACATTTTTGCCCAGGTAAGTTATGAAAAGTGTTTGGTATACTAAAATTATACCAGAAAAATTGAGTTAATTTTACTAATGTTTGTGTTTGATTGATGGTAAAATATTGATGTGATTTTGAAGCAAAATGACGATTTTGTGTTTCTTGCAACAAATTCTTAAGACATCTGGAGGGCAATTTTGTCTAAAAAGGGTAAAATGATTTTCATGGTTTATGGGTAAAAAATAATACAACCTTTCAAATTAGATTTTTTTTCCCATGTCATGTTGAAAAATAGATTCATGGGGGAACAAAATTATACTTGCATTTTTATCACATCCTCCATACCAAACATAGTAAACAAAAATTTCACACCTTGCTTTTCCAAGATTTCTATCACATTCTACGTACCAAACACCCCATAAATTCTTAAAAATAGTTAAGTGACCCAAGATTAAGGTTGTTAAAACTGATTCAATCCGACGAGTTAGCCCATTTAATCCCTCAAATTTGATGAGTTGGATTATAAAGTATAATTAACGGGGTGTATTGGATTGAGATTTCAAAAGATTTTAATGGATTGTTTTTGGACAAAAAAATCCGTTGGTATTCGATTAGGATTTTAAATGATTATTTTAAAATCCGTCCAAATCCGTTGGTATTCAATCAGGATTTTAAACAATGGAATCACAATATCGTGGTATTCAAAAATTCGACGATTTTAATGGATTTTCTATTGGTGTGATTTCGTGAGACTTTTTAGTGAAAAATATAAATAGGATCTCTCTCACAATCTCACCCCAACCCCTAGGATTTCTTGAGATTCTTCTGTTGCAGTATTTTCTTCTTCCTTTGGCAGGTTAACTGCTCAAAATTGGGTTCCGTCATCGGAGCTTCGTCAAAACTAAAAAAGAGAGCATATTTTTGAGTAATTTTCATCACAAAACAACCTAAAAACAACAAACCAACAAGATTTTAATATAATCTATCTAAAAAATAACATATTTTTGAGCTATTTTTAAGAAATTTTGGAAGTTTAAAAAGTGATTTTTCAAGCTATGGGAAAACGAGTGATTTTAGTATTAAAAACAACATAAAACAGTGAAAAAATAAAAGAAAAACTAAAACCCTCAAACCAATTTTCGTTTTACATCAATGAAGCAATATCAATTTAAAGAAAGATTGAAACTTTCATAATATGAACCCTATATTTCGTAACAATACATTCATGAACGAAATTCTTTCACTATAGGAAACAATTTCAAACAATTTTTGTCTCAACAGATAACTAAAAACTTGTTTCTTAAAATCCCCAAAGCAATTTAAGATTTCAATGTATCGACTGAAAAAAATTTGAGAAATTTTCTAAACTTTCATGTAATTAAACCCAAAAATTTTCAAAATTCCAGATTCAAAATTTTCTTAGAATATTCAATGAAAATATGCATATGATATATGGTTAGAAAACTCTCATCACGTAAAACAAAAACCCCAAGATTTTCAAGATCAATTGCAAAAAATTTCAAACGAAATTTTATAATGAACTTTAGGTTCTATATGCAAATTTAGAATTATTTTTATAATTAAAAAAAATTGGGTCTTATAATCAAATATGCATAACTTTGATACCAAATGAAGAAGATAATTTTCAATCCATTAGATATGTGAAAAACTGTTGTTTAGTAATTTTGAATGTTTGTTAAAAATTATATTTTGTTTTACCGATTGAGAAAATTATATTAGGTTTTACTTTTTTTTTTATTAATTTCATTGCATTTCTTTGTTATTTTTTTATAGGGAATATTATACTTACAACATATTTTTGTTTACAACCATATTTTAACTGTTGATTTCCGTCAATCAATGGTTATTATTTCACAAATCAAACTCATTAATTAATATTTACCTTGGAAGTTAACCATTGATATATGGTTATTATTTTCGTAAATCAAACTCAAACTCATTGAGAAAATTATATTAGATTTTATTGATATGTGGAGAGTTGTTGCTTAGTAATTTTTGAGATAATTTTCAACCCGTTGTTAAGTTTACTTTTTTTTATTAATATAATTGCATTTCTTTGTTATTTGTTTTTATTGACTCTTGTACTGTTGAATATTTGCTAAAAATTCATATAGTTTTTTAAAATCTTATAAGTCCATATTGTCCTTTCAAATCGTATGAATTCTATTAAAATCCTTTAAAATTCAATCCTTTAAAATTCAATCCTATGAAATCTTGATTGTAAAAAAAGTCTTTTAAAAAAGTCTATAAAGTCTTTCCAATTCTAAAATGTCTTTTAAAATCTGTAGGATTTTTTATCTCAAAAAAATCTTTTAAAATCCTAATTCAATACACCCTCTAAAGTTGTTAAAATGGGCTAGTTCGTCCCATTAGGTTTTAGCTCGTGTGAGTTAAAACCAAAAAATCCACAAGGCAAAAAGAACCTCAATAATAAAGGTCCACATTGGCCAAAAGTCCTATGGGTTAAGATCACGCCGCGGGTTATCTAAAATTATAATTTTATAAATCTTTTATCATATTTAATACATTAAAAAATATTTAACATTTTCTTAACGTATTTTATACAAATTATAATTTTTTTAATAAAATATATTTGTACACAAATATACAAGTGAAAATGATAACAAAATTTTAATGTAAATAAAAATTTAGTTATTACATTTACTAAATTTGTTAGAAAGGATGCCATCAAATAATGATTTTCTCACTTAAAGTCCTAATAGAATACAACAACTCTAATGAAAAATCAAAAACTAAAAGTAACAATGAAAAAAAATCTTAATACGAGCAGTAATTTCATTGACGCAATTACTTAATCACACCAATCACACTTGCGATTTCACACTTAGTATCTTGAATATGTATTGATACCTTCTCTTTGTTAATTAGGAAAATATGAAAAACATAAATAATCTCAATCTTCCCATTCTCTCAAATGATGTCATCCAACTTTTTTCCATTTCTAACACATTCAAATTGGAGAACTTTACCTTGTACTAAAAAATAATAAATAAATAAAATTAATTGAAGAGCTTTACCGAGGGAGATCTTCGGAGATTAATAGAAAATCGCATTTTTCTCCTCTTTGGGCAATCATTTTCATTACTAATCGATCAAATTATTAAATTCTGTTAAATTTGATATCCGATCATAAAATTTAGTGAAAAAATTTACCCAAGAAATAGAAAATAGTATCGTGTTAGGTATTGAATTATAGATGGAGAACACAACAAGAGGTAAAGTTAGTGTTAAGTGAGCAAAATATCATACAGTAGTCAAGCATCTATTTTGACTTTTGAGCATGCCCTGACGATACATGAAATGACAATAATCACCCTCGATTAATTCTAAAAGAAACATCAAAACTTAAATTATATTTATGATCCATATGACACTATTTTTAATCTTCATTTTTACCTTCGTTTCCACCGCTATTACAATGTGAAATTGACATATAGTACAAGATTTTTTATTTTATTTTTGTATACCACATATAGTACAAGATTTTTAGTGCTGATGTACTGCACTCGTCTTTAATTTAATCCTTACAGTTCATTGCATTGTGATTATAAAAAACTGCATTATAGGAGCAAATTTACGACGAAGACCAAAGTCAAAAACAATTATACATATAAAAACTAGGAACGAAATTAAAAGCTTTTATCACATAGGAACCGAATTATTAAAAATGAATATCACGTAAAGAGACCAAAAATATATTTTAACCAACAAGAAAATACTCTTTGCGTGTATGATTACCACATTCCTTCACAAAGATGCCTCAAATGTAATGCAAAGAATATGCTCAATCCTTTTTAACAAAACGAAGCAAACATAATTTTGTGTCCCATCTATTTCGTGACAAGATGCCTTGAAAAACAGTACATTGAGTCTAGAAACCTCCCAGGGTCATGACTCGTGATGATGAGTTGGCAGGAAAAATCGCCATGTGATTCACCCTCAGAACAATATATCTTCACCCTCTCAATGTTCAAAAGTTCAAATTCTCGATGGCAAAGTCCAAAGAGTGAATTACCAAATAAACAAGGAAGTTAGTTTCTCAGAATATCGTCCATCTAATATGTACTACTTATTCAACACCCTTCCCAATCTATTCCAAAGAACAGGAGATACAGTCACAGAAGCTATAAATGAATGCAAAAATGCGAACCAAACATATATCTCATAAAAGATGTCTGCAGAGCAGCAGAGTAGACATATCATTAATCACTCACAAATATATGTCTTAGCATTTGAACACGAGAACGTGTTCTTCAGATATGTTTCATTGTGAGGGGAGGAATAACAAGAAATGCAACTAATTATAAAACGATAGAGGGAATAGAGTGTAAAATCAAAGCCAATAACTAAGTTTCATTTCATTTCCTAGAGATTCAGGTGAGGCGCGTGTTGACCAGTGACCACAACTCAGAAAACTACACCAGTAAAGAAATCACTGCCCGGAATTCAGATACTGGTCTAGTCAACCATTCATGAAAATGTTAGATTCTATTCCAAAAAATGAAAAACCAAATTCAAGAGTCTGAAAAGTTAACAGGATTCACACCCTCCTGCTGTTTCTTCTCTGATCAACCTTTCTTTCTAATTCTAATTCTAATTGTAATTGAGCACGCAAGAGTTTAGGTTCAGATGTTCACCTCGTTCAATTATAAAATCATCTAATCCCAAATACCAGAAACTAATATGAGAAACAATTGTGAAAGGATTAGGACCAGACCATTTTTACTAGGTGAAAAGAACATGTTTATGATTGAACAGCAACAAGAGCAAAGAGAAAAAAAAACAAGTTCCAATCCAACAACGACCTGAAACTTAACTTGCATACTAAAAGGCGAACAAGGTTAAATCACTGTACAAGCACAAGTGTAGCACCACCTATACCTCTATTCTCATCACTCCACATATCTTCACCTTCACCTTCACCTTTACCTTCACCCTCACCCTCACCCTTTGGCACCGTCACGATGAGCTCCCCATCAACCAAGACGGCGCTAGCCAGCTCCGGCCGCGTCGATTCCGGCAGCCGGAACCTCCAGATATCAAGTTCGAGCTCGTTCAATGAAAATTCCATCGACCCACTTTCCCTAACCACAATCTTTGTGACCCCAGGATGGATTTCCACGGTGTGGGCCTCCACATCGCCGATGGCGTCGGTCTCCACCACAAATCGGAAACAATCGGGGGCTTCCTCCACCGACACGTCAGCATCGGAACGAAAAGGGAGTTCGAGTACCCTGCTGAACACGTGTGGAAGCCTCCTCAGCTTCTTGGTGGTGAGACCCAGAAGCGCCTGTGCCTCCGAAAGAGGGTTCCTTCCATTCCCATTCCCATTCCCATTCATGTCGTATTGGATGCTGATGTTGCGCTTTCTGGGCCCTGAGTGAACTTGAACCTCAACCTGAACCTTCATGATTGTTTGTTTTCTCTTTTGAATGTTCTCTGTGTCAAGTGGCAATCAAACAATTAGCAAACCCTATTATTTGCTTTCACCATTGACCCTTTGAGATTGTGTTTGTATTTTCTCTAATCCCCCCTTTCTTCTTCTTTATTCCGAGAAAACCTCTCAGGGAAAGGGAAAAGGGTGTGTTTATGAAATGTATTGTAATGTTGAGTGAGTCACTGCGCAGATAAAGAATACCTGATTCTTACATTACCCTTTATGCTTCTTCCAATTTACTGTATCACCCACTCTCAATATTATAAATTATTTAATGTAGATGGAAAACAAATGACAATTACTAAAATAATTAATAACTTTGTTACCAAAAAATAACAAAATAGTTAATAACTTATTAATATTATTTTGACAATAAATTGATGATACTTTTAAATATGTTAATCTTGAGGAACTTGATTGGATCCATTTTTACAGAAAAAGCCAATTTATTTAATTTAAATAAATTTTATAATGTTGTTTGATTTCTTTGATTTAATTTAAAATAATTTGACTTAATTTAAATTGATTTCAAGTGAATTATTTTAAAAAAATTATTAATTAATTATCAATTATGTATATATATATATAAATAAAACTTTAACTTGAAACATAATATCAATATTTTTTAAAATAAGTAAGCAAGTAAAATATGTTTTAAAATTTATAAATAATTTTAATCCAATCGAATTAAATCGATTTTCAACATTGAATCTGAGAATAAACTTTTCTCAATCAGTTATTTATTTTTTTTACCGAAAAAAAAGTGATTTATTTTTTATTATCTTACATCTAAGATAAATTATCAAATACTTATTAATTATTTATCATAAATATTTAAAAAATTAGTATATATAAGTAACAAGTAATTAATTATTAATAACTTACCATCAATTCTATAATTTCAACGGGAAAAAGTTACTTTCATTGTTTGACAGAGTATTTTGAAAGGGAAAAATATTTATGCACTTGCACCAGATAAGTTATCTGCATTTATTCTCAAAACGACGTCGTTTTGGTATTAAAATCTTAAAAAATTATAAATATAAAGACTATTATAACCCTGAAATAAATTAAAATTACAAAGACTCCATGATTTCCGCCACAAAACGACGTCGTATTAGACTTTCTACAGATAATTTATCTGCAGTAACTGTAGAAAAATCAAACCCATTTTAAAATTTCCGTAACACAAGTTTTATGCAAAGGCGTAATTGGAAACGAGAAAAAAAAATATCTATTTATTTTACTATTTTTTATCCAATAACAATGAAATATCATATAAGTATTTCATTAAATAATATGTAGCTGTCCAAGTAAATTCTAAAAATATTTTGAATACATTATTTTTTTATATAAAAATTTATAGTAAAATGCAGCAATTTATACTTTTATTAAAATGAAGCAATTAATAATACTATTAAATGTATGGAGAAATTATTAAAAATTGTTTTAGATAAAAAAATTATTATCTAAAAATTGAACTGATTGATGTAACATCCCAAGAGCTGGCAAGGGCAGGGAGTGATCGCCGGTGCGAAAGGGCACGAACAGTGAGCGGCTCATGCCAAATCTTGCAGCTTGGGGGTTCATGAATAAATCGAATCAACACCCGAAAGAGAGGAATTTCAGAGACTGTGCTGGTATGGGACGGTACAGTTAGGAATGACTTATAAGAATTAATTGGTACTACCTATACAAACAAGATACATCTACTTTTCGGTAGCCCGGATCGGAAGAACTCCACAGTTAAGCGTGCTTGAATTGGAGCAATTCTGGGATGGGTGACCTCCTGAGAAGTTTTCTCGGGAAGTGTGCGAGTGAGAACAAAGCACACTGAAAAGTCTCGTATTAATGTGTGGGGACAGTCATTGATTCTTGCAAGTGGCCGGACATTAGAATTGACTTTTCATTTCTATGCAGATTGTGTGGATTTTCTATTAAATACTTCATATTTTAGGACATGCGTTAATCACTAGTAAATTAGTTTTATAACTTAACCGGAAAAAAATTCAATGTATAAATGCTATTATGCTACTAACCAAAACTAACAATAACTGTTTATTTTTAAAATTTAGATAAACAAAATATTTTAAGTTTTAACATATAGTTGGCGTGTAACTGAGCATGTGAATTCTCAACAGCTAAAAACTTAGAAGACAAAATAAAATAAAACTCTCAAAAATGAAAATTAAATTTTTAAAAATTTCAAGGAGTTATATAATACGTGAAAATGTTGTGTTAAATTGCAATTTAGATGTTACCAAGTTGCACAAAGGAAAAATTTCATAGCATGGTTCAAACATAATTAAATAGTTCAATTCAAATCCTTCAATCGGATAATGGCCTTAAATATAAAAATGGACTCTTCTCTTATTTTTTATCATCTATTGGCATCAAACATCAGACATCTTGTATCTATACACCCCAACAAAATGGGATGGCTGAGAGAAAAAATCGACAGCTATTAGAAATTGTGAGAGCCTCCTTATTTGATATGAATGTACCCTCTACATATTGGGGTGAAGCCTTATTATCTGCTGCCTACTTAATGAATTGAACCCCCTATAGTGCATTGAATTTCCTCACCCCACAACAGAAAATTGAAACCTTCTTCTCTAATCTTTGGCTGCTAAGTGTATGTCCATATTCCTAAATCCCTTCGTAACAAACTTGAACCTTGTGCCAGAAAATGCATTTTTGTCGGATATTCTAACCTCCAAAAAGGATATCGTTTCTTTGACCCTAAGAATCATAAATTGTATGTCACTATTGAGGCCTCCTTTGGAGAGTCCTAGGCTTTTTATTCAGAGGGAGACACCTCTAATTCTCCTCAAAGGGAGATCCAACATAGAGTAACAGAATAATTCTGGCTGCCTCCACTTATAACTCCTACTTCAGTACCCTCACCTTCTCCAGATCCTCTGCCTTCACGTATAACTCCTACTTCAGTACCCTCTCCCTCTCCAAATTCTCCTCAAAATTTGTTGCCTGAAACCTCTGAAACAACTCCTCTGAATGAAATCTCTCCTCCATCACATAAAGATCAAAGCATGCCTCACATAGCCGAATCACCTTATGTGGATAGTCCTGAAATGCAACCTGGATCTGCTGTTGAGGTAATCTCTGGCCCACCTTTAAATACTTCAACTTCTGCCCCATAAACCAGAAAATTCGAAAGACCAAACAAAGGCATACCAAAATCAGTTTATGAACCAGACCTTAAAACAAAAGTGAAATACCCCATTAGCAATTATGTATCATCTCACAAATTATCCAAATCATATGCTCTAACGGTTGATCAATTATCCAATGTGTCTATTCCTAATAGTGTACATGAAGCTTTAGAAGATCCGAGATGGAAGCAAGCCATGGAAACCGAGATGAAAGCCCTCCAAAAAAATGAAACTTGGCAGCTAACTCCCTTACCTAAAGGAAAGAAGACAGTTGGATGCAAATGGGTGTACACTATAAAACTTATGGTAGACGGAAGCATTGACAGATTTAAAGCAAGACTCGTAGCAAAAGGGTACACTCAAAAATACGGCGTGGATTATCAAGATACATTTGCTCTAGTGGCTAAGCTCAACATGATTATAATTCTGATTTCCATAGCAGCCAACAGAGAATGGCCTCTAAAACAATTTGTTGTTAAGAATGCCTTTTTAAATGGTGATTTAGAAGAAGAGGTCTACATGGAGGTCCCACCAAGAGTCAAGCTAGCACCATCAAAGGAAAATACAGTCTGCAAACTTAACAAAGCCCTGTATGGTCTTAAACAATCACCCAGAGCATGGTTTGAAAGATTCACCTTGGCAATGAAGAGGTTCGGGTATAAGCAAAGTAACTCAGACCACACACTGTTCATAAAGCATAATAGTGGAAAGGTAGCTATTCTGATTGTCTATGTAGATGATATGGCTTAACAGGTGATGATATGGAAGAAATGAGGTCACTCTAGAAGAAGTTAGCTGCTGAATTTGAGATGAAAGACCCAGGCCAACTAAAATACTTTCTTGGAATAGAGATTACAAGATCTAAACAAGGCATATTTCTGTCACAAAGTAAGTACATCCTTGATCTACTGGCCGAAACTGGCATGTTAGCATGTAAAACTGCAGATACTCCAATCGAGATGAATCACTCCCTTGCAGTCTATCCAGATCAAGTTGCAGCCGATAAGAATAGATATCAAAGGTTAGTAGGGAAGTTAATCTATTTATCTCATACTAGACCTGACATTGCATACTCTGTAAGCATTATGAGCAGGTTCATGCACTCTCCTAGTGAACAACACATGAATGCAGTATACCGCATCCTTAGATATCTAAAAGGATCACCAGGAAAAGGTCTCTTGTATTGCAAAAATAATGAGGCTAGAATAGAAGGATATAGTGACTCTGACTGGGCTGGAGATAAAACTACCAGACAATCAACATCAGGATACTTTACTTTTGTAGAAGGCAACCTTGTCACTTGGAGAAGCAAGAAACAAAAGGTGATAGCAAGGTCAAGTGCTGAGGCAGAATACAGAGGTATGGCCTATGATATTTGTGAGTTATTATGGGTTAAAAGCATCTTGAGTGATTTGGGGATTAGTTATGACCAACCTATGAATTTATTCTGTGACAACAAAGCTGAAATTGAGATTGCCCACAACCCAGTCCAACATGATAAAACAAGGCTGTATCCGGAAGAATTTTTGAAGAAATAGTTGGCAAGTTGGGCATGATAAATATCCATGCACCAACTTGAGGGGGAGTGTTGAAAGGAAGTTTTTTGAATTCAAAATGTTGTTGCATAGGCTTCTGGAATGTAATCTTTTTGTTAGGATATATTTTGTTAAGATATTATTTTGTAACCACTGTTAGGTGTTATTATTTTTAGCACACTGTTACGGTATGATGAATACCCAATTGTATATAAGAACCTCAGTAAGAGGAAGATAATTAAGGCATAACAGTTTCAATATTAATAGTATTATTTTGTAACAATTAATAAATGAATCCACTTCCATTTTTAGATTCGAGGTGGATTTGGATTTACAGTTTTTTAAAGGTTTTTTAGAAGCTATTTAAAAAATGCTAAAATTATTTTTCTTTTTATATTTTGATGTCATCAAAATATCATGGATTTTTAATTGAGAAAAATATTTATCCTTTTAAAGGATATAATTTTGTATCGTTTTAGATTTTAACAGCTCATTTTCGTCAATTAATGGCTAGAATTTATTGAATTTTATTGTGAATTACTAATTAATTAATAAATTTGATCCAATAAATACTAACTGTTAATTAAAAAAAATTAACGATTAAAATTTAAAATATATGTGACTTTTTAACTATATATTCTCGGTAAAATAAAATTAAGAAAAAACATTCACACACGAAAGGGCCCCGCCAAATGTCTATGACTATAACTCGATGAATGTCATGTTAGATCGCCAGATATGTATGTTTGGAAAAAAAAGAAAATGAAAAAAAGAAATAATCAAAGAATTGTCGTGATACTTGTTTTCCCCATTATTGTGACTGAGAATGGGGATTGGGATCCACAATTAGAAGAGTCATGAGTTGTCGGTTTCCGAGTGGCTTGTTGATTTGAAGCACCTCTCTAACAGTTACAACCTACAATTTCGGTTGGAAGCCAACACAAAAAAATATATAAAAAATAATTCATGAGTTCGACCGCGCCTCATTTTTATATAGCTATTTTTTTTTTTGATAGCCATTTTATATAGCTAATTTAAACATGCATAACTATGGTTTACCCTCTAATTCTTATATATTATATGTATTTGTCTGGTCATGTACGTAAACATTCTTTCTTAATTTCATATATTATCGTTGACTTATTGATCAATTTTTTTTTCTAAATATTGTTGTTCAATTATGAATACTTATTTATTGATTAATGTCATGGTTTTATTATTATTACTACTTCACCGGTTCATCAATTATTTGATTACGAGATAGGAAGGATTAGAAGAGTAATAATTTTTTTACTATTAAATTCAAAATCACTAATTAAGTTAAATAATATTATCAATCAATTAATGTATTTTTTTTTTTTTGAAAATTTTCCATAATTTCATCATTTGGTGACTAGTTTGATTTGGGATTAAAACTTTTGTCTTTATCATTTCTACTCATTTCAATTTAATCCATATTGTTTTCTTCTTTTCAATATACTATAAGTACTCGTTTATATGCTTTTAAAATGTCCATTAAGTTATGCACTCGTTTATATGCTTTAAAATGTCCATTAAGTTATCTACTCCTCTGTATGTTTAAAAATGTTCATTAAGTTATCTTTCATATCGTAAGTGCTGTATAAGTTATCATTTTTCTCGGTGGGCACTCCTTTATATGCTTTAAATTTAAAATGTCTATTCTATTGAGCCCTCTTTTACTATGATAAGTGCTCTATAAATTATCATATTTCTGGGTGGGTACTCTTATAAGTCCAAGAGGGTTATATTTATAAATTTTTTGTTTATAAATTCTTACAAATTATGTTATGTACTCTCAGAAATATATTGTGTAATTTGTAAAAGATTATAAGAAAAAATTTATAAACTGATCTTTCTCCTTATATATATATATATATATATATATATATATATATATATATATATATAACTTTAATGTTTCTTATATTGTGTAGGAGATAAATTTATTTTTTATATATACATAAAAGTATATGGGCCCATTTTTTTCTCTCTCTTCATCTCACACGAGCCCATATAAGTCTCATATTTTTATATGTGTAGGAGATAAATTTATTTTCTAAAATATGATAAACACTAAATCCTATATATATATATATATATACCACTTAATCTGTAAAAGAATTATTTCAAGAATATTTGTAAAGTATTGAAAGCAAAATTATAAATCAAATTAAAAATGATTAAAAACCGTAACAATTAATATTTAAATATAGTAAAACTAAAATCATATATAAATTAATAAAAGTATAAAACTCCTTAGCAGAACTTAAAATATGCATTTTTAATTTATCAAAAAAAAATATATGCATTTTTAAAAGTGATGTCTTATTGAAGTTAAAGGGAAATAGAAAATGAGAACGTGAGAAATGGAATCTCACCAAATAATTATAAACATGACTCGTGATAAAAGAAGATAAAAAATATTGATTCAGCTATACACCAATATGCATGTGTGTGTTTATGATTGTATAGAATTAAATAATTACTTTTTAACGACGTCAAAAAGTAGTTATCATTCGTCAATTATGTTGTGGAAAAAATGTAATGTCGAGGACGCATAATTAAAATTCTGAACACCCGTGGTTGAAAAGATGACAAAAAGAATGATTTCCTTTGATCAAAGTTGTGATAGAGAGCTAAACTAAAAGTTTATAATAACTCGTTTTTGTGGGCGACTTGCCCTTTTTTCTATAACATGTGGATGACATGCCTTTTATACATACCTTTACCCAAAATAAATAAAGGGTTTTATGTTTATCATTTAACATAATATAACTTCATTTTCCTACACGCACATTAAAGAGGTAGGGTCCACATATTTTTCTTTTTCTTTTATCATTCCACTTTCTCTCTCTCTTTTGATGTGAGAGTTGGAAACAACACTAATATTATGTTACATAACACTAATAAAATCCATAAATAAAAAGAGGTAAATTTCATTTGGATTATAAATAATAGAAGAGCATACCGTATTGAACTATTTTCTCTCCAATATTCCTCTCTTTTGACGTTTCTTGTTCTCCATTCTACGCTTTGAGAAAGAATAATTTCATGAAAAAAAGCATATATATGTGTTTATGAGTTTTTTATTATGTGCTCTACAGTACGGGTTAAATAATTAAAATAAAATTTGTTTTAAAATTTTATTTCATAATTTTTATAAATAATTAATACTTTATGAAATAATTATTGTAATTTAATAAAAAATAAAAAAATAATTTAAGCTTGATAACAAACTATAACTTATTATTGGTTTTTATTTTTTCAATTTTAAAAAAATTAAAAAAGAACAGAAACCATCTACAAATTTCATAGGTAAAGGCAGAGGTGGGGTTTTTATTTTATTTTATTAAAAAAAAAAAAGACAGACAGAGGAGGAAGGTGCTATGGTCCTTCCCTCAGAATAAAAGACAAAAAGTATCACAAACAATTTTTGGACTTGCACAAACATGGGGTAGGGTACACACTTTAGTCATTTGGAAGCGGGAGGAGACAGAAGTTACCTTCCATTGTCATGCTATGCAAGCAGAGAGAGTCTAATGAATATTGACTCCAAAAAAATTTATTTATTGTAATTTAATAAAATAATTACACATATATGAGAGTTTTTGAAATTTTTACGGATTTAATGCACAATGTGACGCCCAAATGTGGCATCACATTGTGCACCCTATTTAATTCCCTCACTCCTCCATTCACTCTTCACACCTCTTATTCTCTCACTCTTCATATCTATTCCCTTTGTATTTGAATTTTATGTCTACTATTTAAGAATGAGCTCACGTCCTGATTCTGTTCGTGTTGTGTTATATTACAATGGTAGGAAGGTAGAAGGTCGACGAGGTGTCATATTTGAAGATGAAAAAAGGCCGATACGTATCGAACGCAATGCAACTATTGGCGAACTGCATTAGAAAATTCGACAGAAGCTAAGTCTTCAAGGCAACCAATGTATCACTCAGATCACAACAAGATTATGGCAATGTGATAAATACATTAGTTTGCAAGTGGTTGACGATGAAGACCTGAAGATGACAATGGAAGAATTTTTCAACCAGTCAAGGACAGATTTTCTGGAGTTGTATGTCGACATTGCCGCAACCGAGAATGTTCCCTTACCGGTGAGGTCAGTTGATTTAAATTCTACCTGTCTTCCATCTTTGTCTGTCGCTCATGCGTCTCCAGTTGGTAACTATTCTGAGGGAGATGAAATTGATCCGACTTGGGAAATGCACAACGACGACGATGATGAAAATATCGCAATGGAAGAACGTCTTCTGGCGGAGGATGCTAGTGCTTCCGAAGGAGATGAAGGTGCCGAAATGCATGACGTCCCAATATTCCATCAACCAGTGGTCTCATTCTTAAATAGTAGAAATAAAATTCAAATACAAAGGGAATAGATATGAAGAGTGAGAGAAGAAGAGGTGTGAAGAGTGAATGGAGGGGTGAGGGGATTAAATAGGCTGCACAATGTAACGCCACATTTGAGCGTCACATGTGACGCCCAAATATGACGTCACATTGTGCATTAGATCCGTAAAAATTCCAAAAACTATCATATATATGTAATTATTTTATTAAATTACAATAAATAAATTTTTTTGCCCTCTTAGCTCTATTTTCTCAAAAAACACAAAGGGAAAAAGTAAACAATAATTTATATTTTCTCTTTTGTCAATGAGACTCTTACATAAATTTAATGTATCTTTGTACTAAAAAAATTTTAATGTATCTAATTTGAATGTATTAAATTAGTAAAGTATTAATACTGATATAATATTAACAAAATAATAAACATAACTTGTGTTTAACAATGATTAATAATGTGTCAATTGTCAATACTTTATTGACTCAGTATACAAGAATTTTTCATTCGTGATTCCTCCTTAGTCCAACCCTCTTCATTCTCTCTCTTATTGAAAGCCACTCGCCTTTTTCATAGAAAACAATGGGCAATTACTTTGAAATTCAGTACTTAACATTATTGTAGCTGTCAATTTTTGTGTGGAATAATGCCACATACAAAATTGATGTGGCTATAATCGTATCCAAGTACAATTACACGTGACGTTATAGTTTAACGGAAATTATTTTCTGGGTTTAATATTTTTGTTTTTGTTGCTGAAATTTTTTTTTATTATATTCTCATAATTTTTTTTCTCTTCTCTATATAATAAAATTCATTCATTTTTATTTGAGTATAACAAAAAAATTTCTGCAAAAAAACAAAAATAGTTTTTCAATTATTTATATAGTTCCACTTAAAACTAGAAGTTTACTCGTGATAATTGTATAATTTGAAATCAAATTCAAAAGTTCTTCTTTTTTTTGGTAAACAAATTCAATTTTTTTTTATTAATAGATGATTTGTAATTTTATTAAAATATTTGTTGAAATTAGAAATTTATTCTAACTTTAGATTAAGAAAAGTCTTCTAACTATAAAATTTTCTATAAAAAAATTTCAAATTTAAAGTTGTGCTTTTGGAGTCAATCCTGTATTCTTCAGGATGAATATTCTATAATGAGTTCAGTTCATGTTCGTATGGTCTCATTGCAAGCCTTGTCAGTTGTCACACACACCAAAAATTCAAATTTATTAGAGATTGGGCTCACATAAGAGTTCCATTGGGGGAAATATTTACAGCACTACGGATGTACCGTCGACTTCAAATATCATTTATTAAATATGAAAAAGTAGCACATTTAAACTATCTTTATCTTTATGGTAATCTTTTTTCTATTTTTGATAAGAAAATACCTACTCTCATTGCACCAAACATCTACTTACCACAAGGTGCCTAAAAACCATGCAGAGAAAAACAACATAATTAGAAGCTAGATTCATCCCATGAGACAGGTGATTAATCTTTGTCCCTTACCCCTATCTAATTCTAGAGGCAAAGGCAAATCTTCTGATTTTGGATTCCTCCCCACAAGAAGCAAGAGGAGACATATATCACCATGGTTCCAATAAATCAACTGAGCCAGGGAAGCCAAGGTTGCGAAGTCCAGCTAAGGAATCCAATTTCATAAGGTTAAAGGGCAACGATCCTTTACACTACTTTCAGACACACCTTTTTTTTTTAGTACACACCTTTTGTTACACTTGTAAGGTTAAAAAGAAAGAGAAAGTGTGCATCAAGCAATATATTTATCTTATTTTAAAAAATGATATAAGAATATCATAATAAAAATGATATGCAAGTTTTTACAAAAAAAATAAAAATGATATGCAAGTAACATTTCTGAAGCTTTAAATGGTTCTTACTTTTGATGGTGCAAAGTACTTAATAATGTAAGTAAAATAAATTGCATTATACCTTTGATTTTGGTTGCCCAAGGCGGGTCGGTAAATAGAGATAAACAGTAATTTTCTAACCTAAGCATCTTTTTTTGTTTTTTCCTTGGGAGAAGGAGAAAAACTACTTTGAAATATGAATTGGAATTATGCACAACCAACCAACATGCCATCTACACCATGAATTCTGAGACGTATTCCCAAGTCAGTGGTTCCTAGCTCTGTAGTAACAACGCGCGAGGAAAAGGAAACGCAGATGCAAACACTTAATGGCTCGTGAAATATGAAATGGATCAAGAAAAGCATAATGAACCCAAAGAAAGTCTGATTTATAATAATATGTGATATAACTTACCATGATAATCTTAAATACTAATGATACTGAACATACTCGGAACACTCTTCCTTTCTGTAACACTGTTTGGAGAAAAGGGATCAAATCTGAACGTTGCTAAGAAAACAAAAGCATATAATCCTAACATATTAGGTGACAGTCAAACAGCTGCTGCATGCTCTGAGTTTGAAAGGTCTTCATGATTATGATTACGCACCCGACGCCTACGGTGAAATCTTCTATGACCCCGACTATTCGTTCCCGATGGTTTATTTGGGGAATGAGGATGATGAATCTCCTCCAATGGAGCACCATAACCAAAAAGACATTCAAGAGGGTCTATCTCTGACATGATATCAGGACAAGCTTTTTTCTGCAATGAAATATGCGAAATGTATCTATTATGTAACATTATGAAAGCTTCTTTTTCTAGATAAACAAACAGACGTGGGGTCCACAATTTTTTATTTTCTCTTTCCTCAACTCATTTTCTCTCTTTTCTTTTATGTTTGTGTAGGACCAAATAGTGTTTTTCATGTAACATTATACATGTATAACCCATGAAATATTTGTGGAAAAAATAAATAAAACTTATATGTCCAAACCAAAAAACAATCCTACAAAAAAAATAAAAAATCATCCCACTGTAATTTGATCGCTTTGTTTGCAGGCACATCAACTTTTAATAGAGTAATTTTAGGCACACTAGTTTGTTGTAGACACAATCAGGTTACAGAAATGACCATTGCAAAAAGGAGTTAGTTTGCCCAAAATGATATAACATTGTGATAGAAACAGACGCACAAAACTAGTGAACTTCTTTTATATATGTACAAGATAATCCACAGAAACGATAGATATCTATGGGATGAAAGTAGGGAATATAATATAAGTGGGGAATTCACTATCAACTCACTACTTTCATAATCACCATTGGATCAGCATTTTCTCTTTCTTCAAAAACTTTTTAGCATTCTCTCTCTTTGATCCAATGGTAATTGTGGAGGTAGTGGGTTGGTACTGGATATTTTTGGTAGTAAGAATATCTCCCCTCATATAATATAAGTACAAGAAAATGGAAGAAAGTATAAAAAAACCCTGCAATTCCTAGAACTGAGAGCCCCAGCCACACTGACGAGAATTAGCATGGACCCCGCCGGTGCCCCCTGACACAGTCCATGACCTTCTCCCCATGAATTAGCAATTAATTCCATCAAAAGGATCTATGTCAATTAATTCAAGAACAAGAGGGAAGTCTAAGAATACTTACAAAAATATGTTTGGCTTCAAGATTTGTTCTTTCGCTGTCAGTGACAATTTCAGACTCGCCTTGGGAATTATTATAGGAATCATCATGAGAGTCTCCTTCGGAATAATCATAAGAGTCATGATCATCTTTCCTATGACCATAGACTACATTATCGCTAAAGAAATTCCGGTATCGCCATCTTAATTTAGGATTATTAGACGTTGAATCATCAAAAATCTTCTCCGAATAGAAATGCTTAGATATTAGCTGCATTAGCAAAGGATCATTCGGGTACTTTGTCACCATTCTGTCATTTACAAAAATCACAAGAACATGTAATGGAATCAAATCATATGTATAAAGATAAGCATAAAATAGGAAAGTCCACAGGAAATTATTTTCTTTTCTCTTCCCTCGTCACTCCCTCTTTTCTTTTCCAGATTAGGGATGTAGTCAGTGATAAAGCAATCTGGAGCCAAACAATTTCAGGGGGGCACGGAAAATTTCAACTGCAAAGATGATAGTCTTATTTTCAAGCAAAGTAACAACTTAGGGAGAGGCTAGGTAGCACTGACACCGACACACGATACGCGACATGATACCGTATGACACTCTGACACATTAATTCTAATAAAATTTGGATTTCGACAAGATGAGACATGTTTTAATATTAAATAATATTTTTAATTTATATAGTTTATATAACATTTAATATTCAATAATTTAACAATAAAATGAAACTAAACTGATACAAAATTTTACAGAATAATAAACCTATAGCAACTAGCAAGCATAATAGTTTACAGAAAAAAGAAAAAAGAAAAAGTGAACAAACGCAAGAGAAGCAGGGAGTGAGAGTCCCCATTCTACTATTGTTTCCATTTGAAATCAAAACAAAATCCCTAGGTAGGGTTCCTTGAATAGAGCGATCGAATTAGTATCATGGATTCATGGCGGAGGAGGGTGTTGCAGTTGCAGCTCCTCTGGGTTCTAGCATGATCTCCTTAGTGAACCGGCTTCAAGACATCTTTGCCCGCGTCGGCAGCCAATCCACCATCAACCTCCCACAAGTGGCCGTCGACGGCAGCCAGAGCAGCGGCAAGTCAGCGTCCTCCAGGCACTCGTCGACCACAACTTCCTCCCACGCGGCTGATATCAGCACACGAAGACCCCTCGTCCTCCGGCTTGTTCAGACCAAGTAAAAACACTGATTTTTAACTTGTTTTTAAATTTTTTAAAAATTATTTTATTGATATATTTTAATTTTTAAAAAATAATTTTATTACAAACCTTTGACCGTGTCGAACATGGTCAAATTCGCGTGTAGGATTAGTCAACATGTCAAAAATGTTGACCACGTGTCGGACACCGTACAGGAGTATCCGACACGGACACTTCAAGTTTTTTGAAGTGTCGACAATTCAGGATTACTTGTGTGCATATATCAATCAAGTAAGAAGTGCTAGTTTGGGTCTTGGTGTTTCCTTTTGTAGTGCTCTTGCTCTCTTAGTACAGGCTTAATTAATGGAAGTTACACTTTGCCCTACCATTTTACTAGTGTTATTAAAACCGAACCGGCCCAGTCGGTTCGACTGGTTGGCCTGGAAACCGGCCCATCAACCAGTCTGGTTCAAGCATTGGATCATTTACGCAATCAACCCCGTATCAACCTGATGACCCGGTGAAGAACCGCGGTTCAACTGGTATTAACCGGTATCAGCTGGGAATCGCTATCACTTACCACTAAGCTACCCTCACTTGTTGGATAATATGCACCATTTAATATATTCATTATATAATTTAATGGAATCATTTCAAAAGTTGCAGCTAGTGGGGATTGAACCCTTGTCATGGGGATATACATCATATAGTACTTACCACTACACTACATTGGTATGTTGTTTGAATTGCACCATTTAAAATATTTATTATATAATTAAGCACAAAATATAAATTTATATACATTTATCTGGGTCATGCGGTTCAACTAGTGACCTATTGGTTGAACTAGTGACCCACTGATTTGATACCCTGACCGAGTCGATGACTGGTTCGAGGTTAATAACATTGCATTTTACAGTAATTATTGTTTTTAGGGTAGATATACAAAAATACCCTTTACTTGATTGCATTTTCAAAATAGCACCCTAAACTTTTAATTGAAACAATTTACCCCTTCATACTATATAACATTATAGCAATTAAGCATATTTGACCAATTAAAGACAAAATTACCCCTATTCCCTTGATACAACCCTCTATTATTGTTGGTCACCTATCACTGCCTATCATACATATGCTGAGTTAGATCACTACCTCCTCTTCCAACACTTTTTCTTTTTTCGTTTTTACCCAACCATTTAAGGACAAGCCCCAGTCTCGTAGCACTATTAGTTTTCCCGGCTAAATTTCATTAGCCTATTATAGATTTTAGACCAGGTGTATGTTTGGTAAAAAAATAAAGAGATAATTTTTTTTAAGTTACCTTAAAGTTGTTAACGCAAATGGTTCAAAATAAGCCAATTCAAAGTTCAAACATATACCAACACAACACGCACCATTACGCAAAATCCATCCATTTAGGGAGAGAAAATTAGATAAGTCACAACACAAGAGCCAGCATATGATGAGAGGGGGGCCCGTTGGTGGATCGAGGGAATCAGGGTAATTTTGTCTTAAATTGGTCAAATATGCTTAATTGCTATAATATTATAGTATGAGAGGGTAAATTGTTGCAATTAAAAGTTTAGGGTGCTATTTTGATAAAGCAATCAAGTATGGGGAGGTTTTGTATAATTTACCCTTGTCTTTATGACTACATTATATATGATAGAAAGTTGGAAACAATTTTTTTTAAAATCTCAAATTATATCTGCCCATCAGGCTGTCGCTAAGGCAACAACTAAAATGACATTAACCATCTCAAACTCTTTCCTCCCTTCTAAAAACTCTTCATTATCACTTCTACCAAGTGAATCCTAAATTTTCTTTGATCTTACTTGGAATAGGTTGTCAGTATCACTCCATTTAATAAGCTACTTTCTACTACTACTCAGACAGAATAAATGACACTTGACACTGATCTTGTCACACACATGAACTAAAATGACATTAACCATCTCAAACTCTTTCCTCCCTTCTAATAACTCTTCATTATCACTCCTACCAAGTGAACCTAAATTTTCTTTGATCTTACTTGGAATAGGTTGTCAGTATCACTCCATTTAATAAGCTACTTTCTACTACTAATCAGACAGAATAAATGACACTTGACACTGATCTTGTCACACACATGAACTAAAATGACATTAACCATCTCAAACTATTTCCTCCCTTCTAATAACTCTTCATTATCACTCCTACCAAGTGAACCTAAATTTTCTTTGATCTTACTTGGAATAGGTTGTCAGTATCACTCCATTTAATAAGCTACTTTCTACTACTACTCAGACAGAATAAGTGACACTTGACATTGATCTTGTCACACACATGACCTTCGTAGTTTTTTTTTTTTTTAATAATTCAAGCCACCTACTGTACACTGCACAGTGAACCGAAGCCAGCTGACTTGTCCTGAATATGACACAGCATTTGTTTTAATGCCTACTGAGGAATACCAGAGAATATAATCTGATAGTAATTGGAGCTTATGCACAAACCAAAAATGTTCATCAAGTGTGAACAACCAAGATGAGAAGACCTACATATTCGCTAACTCCTTCTGTAATATACTCCCATCCAGTGTAAGAATCTGATCTACACAAGAATACAAAGATCTACGAAATATCCACAGTCCAACGAAAGCAGTAGCTCCTGCAAAAAGACAAGGCAAAAAAACAAGGAGAAGGGAGGAAGGCCTTAGTAGATGTAAAGAACCAATTCAACCTAAAAGCTTAAGCTATTGGGAGAGGCTACATTAATAGTTTTACATATCTCAACATTAGATGTAAAGATACAACAAGCGATTTAAGGCAAAAGAAAGACAGATGGTTTCTCTTACCAGCTGAAAGGTTGACTCTTAATGGTTTACTGAGTTTCCAAGTTGCTGCCATAAAGGAATAAAGATTATCAGCATAGAAGAAAAAGTTACAAGATGAAAAATAACCGATTTTCAACTAACCCAGGAGTCAGCAATAATGATAATATGCTGAAACTATGGTAGAATAAATAAAATATTATATAAATCTTACAGGTCATGGAGCTCTAGAATCAGGAGAAAGATAACGGTACCATCAGGATGTTAAAGCAAAGAGAGAAAGAAAGCCTTTTCTTTCATAGCTCAGTTAACTTTACTATCACTATCAGTCTATCATCTTTCTGTAAGCCGGTCACTAAGAGAAAAGATATGTTTCAATGAATTAATAAAAATGAAGGAAGAGAGAGATTATATTCCAAATTCCAATTACTAAATTTCTGGTATTTTATAAAAAAAAAAGTACAAGATTGCATATATCTGCATTAACTTGACAAGCTCCACATACAACCCCGTTTAATATGACTACCAGCCAAAATTTGAGTCTACTGCCATGTTGATTTGCATTCCCCTTGATACAGGTAAATCAAACTCATGATTAAAAAATAAAAATGAAAATAAATGTCAAGAAGTGTAAACATCGTGTTTTGACTTTCGAACACATGATGGCTCTGAAAATGAAAGCGTTAGAAGCAGCACATACACTAGCAATTCTTTTGAAACTTGAAAGCACCATACTTCAGAAGATACAGAATGCTAAAAGACCAAATGCAATGAGCAGTGAGAATACTAACGCAAAAGAGAAAAAAGAGAAAGAACTATAAGAAAAGCCACTAGCTTGGACTGATCACCAGTTAGATTTAGTTCAATACATTAAAGAAGCCATGCTCCAGAAGCAAGAAAATTCATGTATAGAAGTAAAATTCATTGTAAACGAGCACCAGAATCATCAACGAAACTTAAGTCACATACCTGCCCATGTGGCAGTACCCCCAGCAAGTGCACTAGCAGTAAAATCCCTAAATGCTTTAGATTTCCATGATAGAAGAATATTTGCCTCCTGAGGAGTCAATTTTTCCTAGGAAAAAAAAAGGCAGATATTTGGTGATAATGCAGATATCACCAACATCAAGTCCAGTTTCAATGAACTTCCAAACGTACACACAGCAGCCTTTTCAAAGAATTTTAAAAGCACACAATCATGATGTCCTTCCATGATTATCCCCAAATAAGAGAAGAAGCTAGTTTAACTCAACATTTGCCAAAATGTAAAAGAATTTATTTGCAAATTGCTAGCATCGATTGAAATTGAGTCTAAAAAACAATCAATCTGTACTCCCCTAAGTCAAAATACAAGAAATTTTAACAGTAAAACTCCGAATTAGCATGATTAGGGATTACCCATTGACAATAACTTCAACAAAATGAACATATAATAACTAGGATAAATTATTTCAATTTTGGAATCAAAAGTTGAGAAGAGAGAGCACGTTGGGAGATTAAAAGTAAAAAAGGAACCTTTTTGGAACTGAGAAGTTGTTCAAGATCGAGCAAAGCTTCGCCCATTACAGTCCCTTTCCTACACTCTGCCTGCGGCCTCCTAACCCCCAATTCTTTTTCCCTTTGTTTGAGTTATATTATCACACGCCTCCTTTCTCTCTTTTTTTTTTATATAATATTTGTTTTAATTTATTATTATCATGTTTTTTATTTTTATAATATTTTTTAAAATGAGATTATAACTAAATAATTTAAACTTACTTTTTATTTAATAGATAAACTTATCCATAATAATAATAAAAATGTGTTAAAAGTAGATATGCCAAAAAGTGTCTTGAATTTTTTTTCTCTTGAAATCTCAAGGGGTGCCACAGCTCTTAAGCTGATTGTGAAATAGAGCATACTCATGGAGTTGATTTTTAATTTGATTCTAAAGTGAAACAACTTGGAATTAACGACAAAAATCTTGCATGTCATCAAAAAGATTAATCTATCCAAATGAGGTATTGGGAACACCCAAAAAACAAAAATCTCATATTGTATTTATAATATCAAATTATCAATTGCATATTTGCATAAGATTGATTATCTAAAAGAGGACATAAATTATTTATTTGTGTCACTTATATAAAATTGTATGGATTTCATTATTTTATTTTGTTCACGAGGTTTACTTATTTTTATTAAGTATGTCGGAGAAAAAAAATTTGTAACAAAAATAAAAATATTTTCCCTTACTTAAAAAAGTTTAATGTTTTTATTTTTGTTGGAAAAAAAATTTTCTGCTGTTTTCAAATAAAATATATGGATCCAGTTAACTTTTTATTTTTATTTTTTTATAATATGACTCATTCAATTTTATATAAATATAACAGAAAAAAGTTGGGTTTATTTTTTCTAATATTACTTTAGATAACTGATCTAAATATATATTATATATTATTAATAATACAAGGCCCAAATTAAAAGTCTTCACAGTGAAGCAAAGCCTTAGTCAATGAAGGCGGCAAGCTCCACAATATTAAAAATTACATGACAGCAAACTTTTCAATATTAAAAGCCTTATCTTTCTGAATACTTCATCTCCAAGTATGCCTCAGCACTTGCAAAGCTGGTCATCTCCCAAGCTGCACATCTCTCCACTATAAATATATATGTATCAACACTAAGGTACACACCTTCTTCTACATAATAAAACCTACTTGAACCATATCTGACTTAAGCGTCGGAGTGTCGTGCAGTTACACCTTCATTTTGTTTCATTGAAGATCAATGAGTTAAAGCTGCTCCAACTGCAAGATGTTCTGACTCAAGGAGGTTCCAGACCATTTGTGTAGAGGAAGATCACATGGTCAGCCCAGTTGCAAAATCGGTTTTGATCAATAACTTTATCTAATGTTCATCGAAACGACGTCGTTTTAGGACAGAAATCATGGTGTTTTTGTAATTTTAATTTATTTCAGAGTTATAATAGTCTTTATCATTTTAATTTTTTAATTTTTCAACCCAAAACGACGTTGTTTCGATGAACATTAGACAAAATTTTCTAAAGTAATATTAGAAACTTTTTTCCAAAAAAAAAATTATATGCAAGTAATAAAATAAAACTTGTCTAATGTGTAGTAAGGTTGTTAATTATGAAAATAGACCCTCGAAACAACAGAAATTGTTTGTGTAATAATTGCAGAATGATCCTAGAGTGCCTCATTGATTGAACAAAAGGCTCCTCAGAGACCTCAGTAGGTGAGTGATTGAAGAATGGCCATGTGCAGCAGCATCACCTTAGCTCCTCTTCCTCAAAACCCAAAGGTGAATCCATTGTTGACAGCACTGGCTTCATCCACAACTCTTACCCATCTGAAGCAAGTGCATGCTCATATCCTCCGCTCCAAGCTTGAACGCTCTAACTACCTCCTTTTCAGACTTGTCCTTTCCTCTTGCGCCATCTCCTCAGCTTCAGCCTCAGCCTCAGGCCTCGACTACGCCCTCTCCGTTTTCTCCCAAATTCGAAACCCAGAAACCCATTTCTGCAACCAAGTCCTCCGTCAATTCTCCCGCGGGCCCAGACCCGGTAAGACCCTCTTGCTCTACGAGAAGCTCAGGAGAGATGGCTCCACTCTCGACAGGTTCAGCTTCCCGCCATTATTGAAGGCCGTCTCAAAAGTTTCCGCCTTTAACGAAGGGTTGGAGATTCATGGGCTGGTATCTAAGTTGGGCTTCCATGCTGACCCCTTTATTCAAACAGGGTTGATTGCTATGTATGCGGCATGTCGCCGCATTATGGATGCACGATTGCTGTTTGACAAAATGTCTTATCGAGATGTCGTTACCTGGAATATTATGATTGATGGGTATGCTATAATTCTTGCCATACATTATGAGCATGCTGCTACTTTGCTGAATTAGATTTTTAATTCTGATATTTTGAAACAGGTACTGCCAGAGTGGTCTTTATGATCATGTTTTAAGGCTCTATGAAGAAATGAAGGGCTCTGGTATTGAACCAGATGCTGTAATTCTTTGTACCGTGCTTTCTGCCTGTGGTCATGCTGGAAATTTAAGCTATGGCAAAGCCATCCATGAATTCATTAAGGATAATGGTCTTGATGTTGACTCTTATATACAGAGTGCTCTCGTTAACATGTATGCAAATTGTGGTGCAATGGATTTGGCTCGAGAAATATATGATAAACTCCCATCAAAACCTTTGGTTGTTTCAACTGCAATGCTTTCGGGGTATGCAAAACTTGGAATGGTTAAAGATGCTCGCCTCATATTTGACCAAATGATTGAAAAGGACTTGGTATGTTGGAGTGCAATGATATCCGGTTATGCTGAAAGCGATCAGCCTCAAGAGGCTCTTAAATTGTTCAATGAAATGCAACTGCAGAGAATAGTACCTGATCAGATCACTATGCTGAGTGTCATTTCTGCTTGTGCTCATGTTGGGGCACTTAATCAAGCAAAATGGATTCATAGATATGCAGATAAAAATGGGTTTGGAAGAGTTCTATCTGTCAACAATGCCCTGATTGATATGTACGCCAAATGTGGGAACTTGGTCAGAGCAAGAGAGGTATTTGAGAATATGCCTAGAAAAAATGTGATATCTTGGTCCAGTATGATCAATGCTTTTGCCATGCATGGGGATGCTGATAGTGCCATAAACCTTTTCCATAGGATGAGAGAAGAAAATATTGAGCCCAATGGGGTTACGTTTATAGGTGTCCTTTATGCATGCAGTCATGCAGGTTTGGTTGAGGAGGGCCAGAAATTCTTCTCATCCATGATTAATGAGCATGGCATCTCTCCCAAACGTGAGCATTATGGTTGCATGGTTGACTTGTATTGTAGAGCCAATCTCTTGAGAAAAGCTATGGAGCTTATTGAGACAATGCCATTCGCGCCCAATGTTATCATTTGGGGATCCCTTATGTCTGCTTGTCAAGTTCATGGCGAGGTTGAGTTAGGCGAATTTGCTGCCAAACGACTTCTCGAGTTAGAGCCTGATCATGACGGAGCCCTTGTGGTCTTGTCAAACATTTATGCCAAAGAAAAAAGGTGGAATGATGTTGGACTGATCAGGAAATCAATGAGACATAAAGGTATCTCAAAGGAGAGGGCATGCAGCAGGATTGAAATGAATAATGAGGTGCATGTGTTTTTAATGGCAGATAGATATCATGAACAATCAGATGAAATATATGAGAAGTTAGATGAGGTAGTCAGTCAATTGAAGCTGGTTGGCTACATGCCGAGTACCTCAGGCATTTTGATTGATTTAGAAGAGGAAGAAAAAAAAGTAGTAGTTCTCTGGCATAGTGAAAAGTTAGCACTTAGCTATGGGCTAATTAGTGCGAGGAAAGAATCATGCATTCGTATAGTTAAAAATCTTAGAATATGCGAGGATTGTCATTCCTTTATGAAGTTGGTCTCGAAGGTGTATCAAATAGAGGTTGTTGTGAGAGATAGGACTAGGTTTCACCATTTTAATGGTGGTATATGTTCTTGTAGAGACTATTGGTGATTTATTTCTATTAGTAAATTGAATGACACTGTCATGCCCTCATTTTTTTGCCTTCCTTGTAGTAGTTACGGCATGTAGTTAGTGGAGCTTAGTGAAGGTTCACTACTATAAATTGATTATTTTTTTTAGTTTGAATGAAAATTACTGTAAATTAACTTGACAGTGGATATAGTCTTGCTCATTGGAAATTCGACCACGTCATACATGTGTAAGAGTTTATAAGTTAAAAGATTTACTGGATCTTCGAAGTTTAGGATATCAGGAGACAAATCATGTTCACAAATGTTCTGGTTCTGCCCAGCTCCGTTGCAGAAAAGATATGCGAGAGCGCTATACTAGTAGCGCACCCCATCAACACAGCTGAAGTCATATCTTCACAAGATATTTACAAAGAGCTAAATATTTAAAAGCTAGCTCAAACGGTGAGAGTGTCCAAGGTCTTATAAACTCCACATTAGTTGCTCATACAACCAATGTGGGACTATATATCTCAACACGTCCCCTCACGCAAGAGCCCTTTGGGCTTGAAGCGTGGAATTGCACAGGCCCAATTTTTTGGTTTACCTTTTGTGCTTTTTTATTTTTTATTTTTTATTTTTAATTCCACTTTAAAGTGGGGGACGGTGAGGATCGAACTTGTGACCTTATAGTCACTCAAGCTCTGATACCATGTAAAGAACCTTGAGATACACCACCCCAAAAGCTAGCTCAAAGGGTGGGAGTGTCCAAGGCCTTATAAACTCCACATTAATTGCTCATACAACCAATGTGGAACTATATATCTCAACAACCGCATCCCCATTAACACCAGGTGAAGTAAAATGTAAGACAATCAATTTTTATTTTTCAGAAGATACCCCAAAAACATGTTAGATTTGGTGCTGGGAGAGCAGTGGCGGATGCAAGAAATTTCTTTATGTCCGCGAATTTTTTTTGTAAAAAAAAATTTAAATTAACGCTTGAACCCACTCATAATCTAGTTCTCTTCCATAACAAGATGTAGGCAATAGTTTGACCAATCATTTTCCCTCTTAAATCTTACCAATTCTCCAAAACAAATATGAGAATATACTCCAGTACATCCATACATCGTCATTCTATTTTATAGTGGTGAATACTACCTCATCATTCTATTTTATAGTGGTGAATACTACATGTACAAAAGGCAAGCAAAATCACAGTAAAGATATCGTCTCTAGATATTAACTTATTTGAGAATGTCCGACCTGCAATCAATCCTCTTTTTTTATAAAAGTGAGAAAGAAAACAAAGGATGAAGAGGCATGGAAATGAATGAGTACGTGACAGGGGAGAAATAATAAGTTTTCTCTTTAATCAATTTGCATTTCTACGTTGTTTTAATTATTTCCGTACGTTGGTACCTTGCTAACTAATATAAGAATAAATATCTTTTTTGGTCCATAACAAAAAATTTGGTCCCCACTTTAGTCCATTATAAAAAAAAGTCACATGATCCCTATGAATTTTAAAGTGGATCCATTTTAGTCTTTTTGAGGGACTAATGTAGGTCTTTTTAAATTTATGAGGGACTACAATTTTAACTAAATTGATCCACTTTAAATTTATTAAGGATCAGGAGACTAAATTTTGGTAAGGGACTAAAGTGGGGATGATATTTTTTATTAGGGACTTAAAATAATATTTACTCCTAATATAAATATTGAACCAAGAAACAAATAAGAACCTACAAGACTACAACAAAGACAAAAAAAAAATCCAAAATTTTATGTCCGCACTTGCGGACATTTGCGCATGACTCGGTTTGCCAGTGTGGGAGAGCACCCTATTCTCTATGCTCGTCCTATTTATTTTTTGTTTCTCGTGTCCTACTCAGTAGTAAATTCTCTCGTGTATTATTTAATATGATCATGTAATATGAGAGAATCATAACGATAAAGGGTGGATCAATAATGATGAGAAAAAAGAGAAAAAATATTGGATTAGGAAATTACAAAATAATCACCATTCATTTATTTATTAATGATTAAGGTCCTCTCAGATGACATAATCATCTTAAATAACACATGAGATAATCAATTTTCCAAGTTGTCTCACAAATTTTGGCCTTGTAAGACTTCTTCACATTATTTGAATGCGATATTAATGCTTCTTTAGGATATTGAGACTGTCCATTGTCACAAAATTATGAGTTTGCATCTCTGACAATACTTGAGCTTTCATGATGTAAGATATAAATAAATGATACATTATATAAATTAGATTTCCTAGCATGAAGAGACAAGCTGCAATTATTATTTGTAGTCAGTAATGATTTAATTATTGATTATTAATTTTAGTAGTTAAGGATTAATAATTATTAATTTAAATCATTAATGATTAGTAATTATTAATTGTATTAATTAGTGATTCGAAATGAGTGTGGGGTGTGAATATTTCATGGAAAGATAGTGGGGAAAGATGGGACCAAACGCAATCCGGTATCCAGCGAGAGGTGCATACATAAAATACTGCGTCACGTGAAACGGCTTGACTGTCCAATTTATTTTTATTTTTTTAAAAAATAAAAAGTATAAAGTTGGAGGAGTGGTCGCACCTCGACTTAGGTGTATTGGTAAATATTTTCCACCAAAGCTCATTCTGGAAAAAAAATTTGGGAAAAGGGCTCAAATCGGGCAATGAGTCTAGAGAGGTGTGGTGTTAAAACTTAGTTCCCAATACTAGCAGTGGCATTCATGTTTCATTATCAGTAACAAATTTCTTAAGCAGTGTTTAGTTGAGGAGAAATTTTGTGAATACTGAGAAAATATAATTGATAGAAAAATGATTGGAAAGTGAGTTAGGTAGGAAAATGTAAAAAAAATTGTTTGGTTGGAAAAAAATTTACCAGGAAAATTAAGTGAATTTATAATGTCTATGTTTGGATGTAAGTAAAATATAGATGGGAAAGAAGGTTGGAAGTTACGAAAATAACCCTGTCTTGAAATAATTTTGAATCAGAATGAACTACCCTTTATCTGTAAACAGGGTTCCATTTGTTAAAAAAGTGTAAGTTGCCAACGAGCATTTGTGCAAAAAAACAAAAAATATTGGTTAACAAAGGAGCCAAGCAAAATGAAAAACCTTTCTAAAAGTTCTCATAAGAGAACTCATCATCATGAAACAAAACCAACAGTCCTCATCATTCACTGAATCAGATTCGTTAAAAAAGAAAAGAAAAGAGAGGATATATTTAACTGGAACTTTCCAACGAAGGCTTTGCTCCCATAGTTCAAACAAGTATCACTCAATAGGAAAAAAAAAAAAAAAAAAAAAGGAAGATGCTTACCCATCTTTAAAAAAAGAAAAGGAAGATCCTTAGAAAAAAAGCTCACAGAATGTGTGCGTTGAGAAGGGAAGCAAAAAGAGGAGAAACATTCTCATAGGGTATAATGGGTGTTCTGCAATTTGAGTAAACAGTGGTTTACCAATCTTTTAACAAAAAACTACCGATGAAAAAGCTTTCTGAACAGTGCCGAAAGATGGGTATCCATGAGAAAATTGAAAAGCTATGCAAATTGGATACATGGCCTTTTTGACTGAATCCATTTGACCAAACATTGGTTTTCTGAAATCCTTGTTTCATTTGTATAGGAAACTTGTGAATGATCGTGAACCAAACGGCACCTAAAGGACCGTATTCATTCATATCAGTAGTTTATAACAAGGCATTCCAAGAATGGGAATCCATGCCCTATTACAGGGAGGAGATACTCTTATATGTTATTTAATATAATCATGATATGTGAAAGATTCTTAATCATAATTCATACACAATGAATTAATGATAAAAAGAGCTGAGAGAGAAAAATATTAGAATACAAAATTACAAAATTATCACCATTGATTTGTATATTAATGATTAAAATTCTCTTACATGATCATATTATTTAAAACATATGAGAATATCCATTTCTTTGGGGCATGACACCCCCAAAATGGCAGCAGGCTAATCATGATTTTATAATTCAAACAACTGTTAGTTCTAATTAATAACCATAACGAGCACAATTCATAAACCTCCTTTAGCCGCAACAAAAGGAATTTGTGTCTTCACCATTGATGTTCCTCCGATTAAGGATTAAGTGAGCTTTCGAGACGGTATAGTTCAATCTCAAGAAAACTATCATTGTTCTTTCTTTCTTTCTTTTCATTTACATATTGTTTTTTCTCATCCAGATGTGGTAAAGGTGAAAAGTCTTCCCAAAAGTACTTCTTTAAAGAAGACCTTAAGATTTAAACAACAATGTTTAAGTACTGCGTCAAGCATCCATTGGATATCATTGTTCTTTCTTTTAAGGCTAAATTGATTGTCTTGTATTAAAATTTCACACGAAATTCTCAAATCAAAAATATATTTATTTTTTTCTTTATAAGTATTTACAAATTTTAGTAGCACTCTATCTATCCATTTAATATGCATATAATGTGAATTTTTTATATGAGATGATCAGGAATAATATAAAGAGCAAAAATTATCGACTATTGTTATTTAATTAAGGCAAGTTGTGATGAAGACATTCTCCATTATAAAATAGTGATAAGATTCACATTTTTTGTGTTTGAAAATTGAGGATTATGGCATCAACTAACTCGGCATTATGGAGTGGGAAGTTGACTATAGTTATTGCTTTATTAATAGAATAATCAGTTGTCAGATATGTTTGTGGATTAGTTGAGTCTAATCTATGTCAAGCAAGACGCAACAGATAATACAGACTATATACTGCTAAAAAAACTGCACTTTAAACCTAATAATTAGAATGCATCAAATGTCACTTGACTTGCAAAGTACGTTATCTTTTTGTTTTTTTTAATAGATCTTTTGAAAAGAAACATGGATGCAAAATTTTATTTTGATGTGAATCATTTCAATTTTACTATTGCACAATCTAACCCCGACCGCTTTAAGAATCAATGACTATCCCCACATATTAACACGAGACTTTTCAGTGTGCTTTTTCCTCATTCGCACATTTTCCGGGAAAACTTCCCAAGAGGTCATCTATCTTAGAATTGTTCCAAATCAAACACGTTTAACTGTGGAGTTCTTCCGATCCAGGCTATCGAAAAACGGATACATCTTGTTAACATAGGTAGTACCAATTAATTCTTATAAGCTATCACAAACTGTGCAGTCTTATACCTGCACAGCCTTTGGAATCTCCCTCTTTCAGGTGTCGATTCGATTCATTCATGCATGTAACCCTCCGCTGGAAGCCTGTATGGAGCCGCTCCTTGTCTGTGCCTCTTTGCACCGGCGATCACTCCCCGCCCTCGTTAGCGCTCGGGATGTTACATGCCCACTAGCTTCGGCCTGGTTCGTCCTCGAACCACACCGTACTGGATGAGAGGCCCTGCTCTGATACCACTTGTAACGCCCGACCGCTTTAAGAATCAATGACTATCCCCACATACTAACACGAGACTTTTCAGTGTGTTTTTTCTTCACTTGCACACTTCCCGAAAAAACTTCCTAGGAGGTCACTCATCCTAGATTTGCTCCAAGTTAAGCACGCTTAACTGTGGAGTTCTTCTGATCCGGGCTACCGAAAAGCAGATGCATCTTGTTAGCATAGGTAGTATCAATTAATTCTTATAAGCTATCCCAAACTGTGCAGTCTTATACCTGCACAGCCTTTGGAATCTCCCTCTTTCGGGTGTCGATTCGATTCATTTATGCATGTAACCCCCCGCTGAAAGCCTGTCAGGAGCCGTTCCTTGTCCGTGCCTCTTTGCACTGGCGATCACTCCCCGCCCTCGTTAGCGCACGGGATGTTACACACAACATGTCTGAATTGAATTAAAGTACCAAGTATGGATTTATTTCTCAAACGAGAGTGAAGTACGTTGATACGAGGGAAATGAAAGAGACAGTGAAATAGACCAGAGCTTTAGGGAGCGTTTGGTACAGGAGAAATTTTTATTTGTCTAAGAATCTCGATTTTCAAAAATATAATTTTTGCATTCAGTTTATGATAATATTCAAAACTTAAAAATTTAGAAAAATTCAATTTACCGGGAATTCCGAAAAATCCTGCGTAGCAAACGCTGTATTTCTAATTACTCTTACCTATGTTGAGGGTGCACAAGGGGGGAAAATATATAAGGGCTACAGTTATGAAGTAACAAGAATAGAGAGTAGAGGGGAGAAGATGAATAGTAAAGGAGCTAAGATCACTTTATATTGGAGGTTAGAGATCCCACTAAGTATGAGGCAGCTTGACTCATGATGTGTAAAGAATTATGCGTGCAAAGTAAATATGACGGGACACGTGTACCAAGGAGCTAAGTACTCCATGTGTGCTGGATAATAATAAACTCTCCAGACAGATTGGGAGATATGATCAGATAAGTCCATCAGTCCCAACCAGAACAATGTCCCTTCTTTGAAGGAATACAAAAATGGAAAGCTAAGTAGAAGATAATCCAACAACACCTTTTTATTGTTTTTCTTTTTTTCCTTTAATTTTAAGCAGAGAAAGTTGTGTGGTGTGAATTACTGGAAGTTTTCGGGAGAGAATGGTTGTATGGATCTGTTTCATGCAGAATAAAATTGGGATTAACTTTTTTTTCTTCTTCTTGAAAATTAGTTCTCTGTTGCCAGGAAAGGAAAACAAAAGAGAGGGATATACCAAACTAGGGATCCATTAGAAAGAAAAAAAACAAGAAGAAGAAAAGAGCCTTAATCTGAAATAGCACTTCCTATACAAAACATCAGTTTTATTCTAACGATACGAAAACAAAGTTTTCCCACCTTCCATCCTCCTCTGTTTTCATCAGTCCAACGGGAAACTTGACGAATCACCCACCTGAGAAGTGGTGGTTGACCTCGTACTGTACTTGTTTGATGAAGTTGGCGATGAAGACAAGTCAATCGATCTTCTCCTTAGCATCTGCCTCATGCCATCAGCGACCCGAACTGCAGGATTCGATTTGATCTTACCACAGAATGACATGTGAGCTTTAACAGCTTCTTCCATGGCGAATGGCTTTTTACCTCTGCTAACTTCATCTCTGACTGCTTCTGAGCACAACCCACATAACCATTTTCCATCAAATTTAGACTTCACGTCCCTGATATAATCTTGGGTGCAATCCTCTTTCAAGCCACAACACTCACACTTTGCTGATTCAATTTCCATATCTGTGTAAAACAAATGTTTCTTAATATCTCCCCTTAATTTGTATCTTCACTGAAAAGGTTTATAATAAGGATGAGATCGAATCTTTGGATGACCAAGAGAGAAAGGGTATTTGTTTGTAAGCAAGGGGCCAAGGGGTGAATTCTTTTAGTTGGACTCGAGCGCAATGATGACAGAGCCGGTCTTACTTTATGTTGTTGGCATGTTGGTGTATTTTTCTCAGTTGGGTTGGGATTGATTTGATGGTGTTGTTGCTTCAAGAACTAGTAAGCGTATGTTGTTCAAAGAGAGCTTTAAATTTTATGGTGTTTGAGATGAGAGAGGGAATGCAAGTTTAAGTAGGGAAGGAAGACTGCCATAATTTCCTCCATCTTCTAAGGGACATGGGGCAGTGGAAATTAAGACGAGCGTGGTCGGAGGGGCCTTTACTCTGGCCCTTGTTAGCATTTAATACATAATCAATGTCAAATATATCAGCATCTATTGAAATACGGGAACCCAATAAATGTTAAAATTTTGTATCTTTTCTTACCTCTATCTTTATAAATATTTACAAATTTTGCGACTGCTTCACCAATAAAACAAAATTCTACTCACCAACAATCCTAAGCAAAGGACCGAAACAGAAAAATAAGGGAGGGGGTGTTGGAGGAAAATAAAAATAAAAATAGTAGTGAGCATTAAATTATTGCTTGATTCAAGTTAATAGAAAATTTATTCACTACGTTAATTGTTATAATGAAAATAGCTTGAATCCATTATTGTTAATAATGAAAAATTAATGGGCTTTAGTATTAATGAAAATAATGTCAATTTGATTGACTAAAGTAATACATTTAAGGTTCCTTTTATTTATGTCAATTTGTAATGATGATAAATTATTTAAAAGATGAAACAAGGGAGAGTCCTTGTGTGCTTGAGTGATTGAATTATTTAAGAGAAAAAGAGAGATTGTAAGAAAAATAATGAGAGGATATATACGAAGAAAAAATCTTAGTGTTATATTCATATTCTGAAATTGAATTTCTCATTGTGAATTTCATCTCTCTACGAGACATAGTGCCAATTTTGGTGAATTGTATTAAATTATATATACACATGGGATAAAATCTTTTGACACCGAAAAATTATATTAAATTATATATATATATATATATATATATATATATATATATATATATATTAAATTATATCATGTAACTTGACTTAAGGATTAGTCAAGTTACATTATGTATTACAAGTAGTACATAGTGTAACTTGACCAATCCTTAAGTCAAGTCACAAGACAAATCATTTTGCCATATATATATATATATATATATATATATATATACATACGGGATATGATCATTTTACATTGGTATAAGAATAATAAATCTTAACCAGATCTTAACCGTTGATTTTCATGCATCTAACGGTTGAAATTTATTAGAAATTAATAATTAATTAATGTGTGAGACCCACTAAATCTTAACCGTTAGATGCATGTAAATCAATCGTTAAGATTTGGAGTAAGACTTATTATTCGTACACCGGTGTAAAATAATTCTGCCCCTATATATATATATATATATATATATATATATATATATATATATAGGGTTATATTTACAAACTTTTTATTTATAAACTTTTACAAACTACATTATGTACTCCTTAAAGTACACTAGGTTACACTATGTACTTCCGAGAGTACATAATGTAATTTGTAAAAAAAGTTTGTAAACGGATCATTCCCCCATATATATACTCTCACACATACACTTGGCTATAATCAGTGGCGGACCTAGGAAATTTTATTTATGTGTGCATATTTAGTTCGAATATTTAGTGGAGGGGATTTGGGGGCAGTGCCTCCGAAAAAAATTTAAAAAAAAAAATTAAATGCATTAAAAAATAAAAGAATTTAAACAAAAAAGGGATTTATATCCCTTATGTTACATGAATCAAATTTCTGTCATATTAAGAAAAAGACAAGACCAATTCATTGAATAATGTGTCATCTCACTTACTTTAATATTATATAACTTGTCTTTTTCTAAAATGACAAAAAAAATTGTTCATATAATATAAGAGATATAATCTTCAAACAATAAAAGAAAAGAAAACTTCGACTTAACATAAAAAAATAGTAATCAACTTAATGATACAAAATCACTAAAACATAAGCAGTAAATGACATGTGTTTCCTTCTTAGTACTTGTGCTTGTATTCCTGACAATGCAGCCACTAAAATTGCTCCTTTAGTGACATTCTTAATTAATTAAAAAATATATCTCTTCTTTACTAAAAAAAATATATAACCAAATTTATGTGTATACTTGCACATATTTACAAGCAAATAGGTCCGCCAATGGCTATGAACGTCTAAGCCTTCTTTCTTTTCTCCTCTCTAGTGTAAAAGTGAAGGAGGGAAAACTCCGAGAAACTTCAAGCACATGGCAACATTGGCTAATCTAGTCTTGTCCGTTTGGTTAGCTAAATTCTATGAATGTAAAGTGCTGACTAGCGATTTTCCTTATAATGGCCATGTGATTGTTCATGCGCATTAGCTTTTGTGTCCTTATTTTGATTAGACTAATGCTATATATAGTGCCTATATTCATAGCCATTGCAGATTTATAAAGTTTATAGTAGAATGTTGTGTATAAATTTCCCTTGGCGAGCTATATCGAATGGGCTACTTGATTCAGCTGATAAACGGATTTCTACTAGAGATCAAAACTTCATCTTTACGAAGAAAGGGGGAGTTTTAGGAGAAAAACCATAACTAAGATAATTAAAAAAAAAAAATTGAATCTAATATCCAAAAAAAAATTGAATCTAGAAGTTGTTCTGATTCTGCTGGATAACCTTGTCCAGCCCGCCCATATGGTTGCTCCGCAAGGCAACCCTTGTTTAGGACGTGGAGCATATGACTCTCTAGTATATATATTTTTTTATATTTTTCCATGTATGATTTTTCATACATAGGGCTTACGTAACCTCATATCTAGTGAGATCTACAAGACTGGAAATAATTATGACATCACAATTTGAATATTTGAAGGGAATCTCCAATACCCTATATAAAGGGACCTTAACTCGCTCATTTTCTTATCTTCTTTGTTATTTCATACACAACTTTATTGTTATTCACAAAATCACTGCAAAATTAATTGACTGATGAATGTGACATAACAATAAATTGACGACTCGACTACACAAAGTCAGATTTTTTACGGTGTTGCCAGTAAGAATAATACAATTAATTTGCTGGCTTTATTTTTTGGCTAAACAACTATGTCTTTTCTTTTCTTTTCCTGTACGCAACGAAGAATATATCTTCATGTTATTTTAGTCAAAAACGTATGTGCAATGCTCCTTAGCCTGCACTTGGCAAATGTACAATGTTGCTTGTTTGTCTTGGCCAATCAAGTTTGCATTGCTAGCATGCAAGAATTTTAGCAATTGCTATCCTGTTACCGACCTGTAAAACTAATCTACATATACTAATGAGACACAATACAAGCCCACTTCCCGATGTTGCACCGATTCTTCAAATTTACAATTACCTCACTTTCATGGGTCTCCTTTTATGTGACGCCACATTGACCGTATCCGAACATCATTGATTATTTGATTTGGAAGTAATATCAATTATTAGAGGATTGTAGTGTTAGAATTTCTCGGAATTTAAACCTTTGTGTGCGTCATAGGCCATGGGGAAGCTTGATATCCTCCTTTCAACGTTGCTTTCATCTACAATGTTGTGTCTAATAATGTTGACTCAATTTCACAGGTAAATTGATATTTGTCTTCGCCATTTCGGAGGTGTCCAATATCATAATTGATCTGTCATTGCCCATGAACTCAAACCTTGAATTGCTTTTATGACGAAAGGAAAGCAATTCAAAGTCAGAGTTGGTGCATATTGAAGAAGGATGCACATAAGAAAGGAAACATGGCACGTGCATGTTCTGTTGAAAATTTGAAACCCCCCAACTATCCCGTTAGATAATGCAAATTTGGGTAAAATGATCATGAAACCATTTATTCATTACTTGCTCTTATTTTCCGAAATTTAGAATATCATTAGTGTTATATATATATATATATGATCCTTTTACACCAACCAAATTCTAATCATTAATTTGTGCCCAATCGACAATTATAATTTATTGAGAATTATTAGTTAATTAATAAGTGTGACTCAATAAATTATAATCATCAGATTAATGAAAATCAACGATTAGAATTTAATATCAAACTTTTTAGTTTGACACCAGTATCAAATGATGTTGTCTATATATATATATATATAGGGTTCTATTAATCTCATGTTAAAGGAGATAAATTATCTCATGTCATAGAGATAAACTTGTGGGCTCCACCACCTGAAAGAATAAAAAGAAAAAAGTGACACAGTTATCAAAGGGTGTGTAGAGAGAAACTTATCTCATGTAACGTGAGAGTAATTTTTCTCATATATATATAGGGTTTAATGTCTTTCATATTGTAGAATATAAGTTTATCTCCTACGCACACATAAAAGTATGTGGGGCTTATGTGGATCCAAGTGAGGATAAATTTATCTCCTACAACATGAGAAATATTAAACCCATATATACATATATGAGAAATCTACTTCTCCTTTTATTGCCGAAGAAATTTTGTGCGGCAACTAATTATAACTATGTACTTCGGGTAGTACAAAGTTGCAATTTTAAAAGATGTTTTTGTTTCTCTCCTCAGAAGGTTGTCGGCTGACGTGGCGGAGAGAGAAAAAATAACTTTAATAGTACATAGTTGTAATTAATTGTTGCACAAAATTTCTTCTACAATGAAAAGAGAAGTTAAGGACCCTATATATATAGGTAAAATCATTTCTCCTGCCGTTTTACGTATAGCAACAACAGGTGTGTGTTTATGATTTCCCACATTTAATGCTTTCATCCTTTGTATGATTATGATTCCCTGCATTTAATGCTTTCAAGTATATATATGACAATTATTTGATTACTACACGTACATCAGCTGTAGAAATATAAACCATATATATATATATATATATATATATGAGACATGATCATGGTGTCAAATTAAAAAATTTGTAATTTGACACCAAATCTTAACTGTTAATTTCTGTCAATCTAACGGTTATAATTTATTTGTAATAAATAAATGTGATCCAATAAATTATACGTTAGATTCATAGAAATTAACAGATAAGTTTTAGTGTCAAACTTTTTAGTTTGACACAAGTGTCAAAGAATCTCATCCCTATATATATGGGGGGCGT